AACGCGTTTTACTAATTCAAATAGTTTACTGTATTATTTTATTATTTCTTTTACCAAATGTCGATCATTGTGACGGGTGGTCGATTCTTAAATCATTATTTGTATATATTAGGTACAATATGTAGAAACTTATTATGGTACATTTTATTTAAACACATTTTAAGATTAAAAACTAGACATTTTAGAATAAGTATTAAGTAGGTTGATTATAGATAATTGTTTGCATGGCCAAGTGTGACTGATACTTTTAATCGTCAAATGTCAATGTAAACATAGGTACTAACTATAAAATACTACAATTAACAATATTGTATCGATAAACGTATTTTGTTACTTTGACCTTTGCGTGTAATTTATATTAAGTACATAGTTATGTTTTGTATTGTATTTTATATTTATGTTTGTTATTTTTAGGTCTGGATGATCTGAGAGAAACTGTTTTAGCAGTAAGACCGCCCATTTACATGCTTGTTGTCCTTATTTGTGTGTTATTATTATTACGTTATATACGTATAGCAATATATGTCTTGTAATTTCAATAAATTTGTGTATTGCAACTGAATTTGACTTTAATTGGCTTAAAGGTCTCGGTTACCAGGCCATAAAATTAAAAAATAATTGACTTTAGCCTTTTATTTTTTTTATCTATAGGTACTTATTTTAATTTTCTTTGAAACTTCATAGTTTTTACTACCAGATTTAGAAAATCTGTTTAATTTTTAAATAATTTATCTATTAATGTGCTGATAGATAGATATTTTTTTGGTAAATAAGAAAATGATGTCCCTATATGTATAAATTACCTAAATAGATACTTACTGAATGATTTGCGTGTTTTTCGAGAAACTGCCAGACAAGTATGACAGTTTAAATCTATTTTATATTATGATTAAATAGATTCTATCAAAATGTTGCCATATTAACTCAATCAATTGCTTAAGTTAGTATTTTCATATCAATTTTGTAATAGGAAATTCGGTTTTGTCGGGGAACCGTGCCACCTAGTATCATGTGATTTACACAGATCCAAATGCACTCACATGGCGGGTACATAATGCACGCAGTAGGTAGGTATACCATGGGGGTGAGATTGGATAATGTTACTGTGTAAAAAACAAACCAGTGGCGGTACAACCATTTTAGGTCTCGGCCTCAGATTTTTGTAGCTGTTTCATAATCTCATAGGCAAGTAGGTGATCAGCCTCCTGTGCCTGATACACGCCGTTAACTTTTAAGGGTCTAAGGCAAGCCGGTTTCCTCACATTATTATTCTTCACCGTTCGAGCGATTGTAAAATGCGTAAAGTCTTCTCTGTCCCGTATTAATAAGGAAGATGGTACCAAGTAGTAGTCCCATCATAGCCATGCACATGCAACCGCAAGAAAGATATAATAATATAAATCTTTTTTTTTTAAATTGCCATAGGGCTTGTGAGTGCGTTGCCGGCCTTTCAAATTGATACGCTCTTTTCTTGGAGGACCCTAAGTCCAATTGGTTCGGAAATACCTCAGTAAGCAGCTAGTTTGCCCCGAGATCGAAATCTGTCACAAGGTTTTAAGTTTTTCAGCGCCGGATTGCCCTCAAGAACACGAAGGACAGCCTGTGCGTCCATCACCGAATGCTGAATGTTCCGATGGTGGACACCCAGAAGGAGATCTCGTCTCGTCTTCTCTCTGTTTTCTATTAGAAATATATTCATATCATATTTACGATTGAGGTTAATAATATTTAAGGTTATTAATACAATATTAAGTCCACAATATAAGCGTAGGTAGATAGGCTCAGACAGCAACAATTAATACAACAGGCAGATCAATCGCTTGTCGAACTGCACTCTGAACCAGTTTTATGGTGGTTCAAGTTACATACTCGCAGATTTTAAATTTAAGAAATATTAATTATTAGGTACGTCGTGGAAACTCGTGAATGTAATGTCCATTTTAATACGTCTTAATATAGGTAATAAATATTTAATGTTTTCTTATCTCCTAGATTAAAAGATTATCAAAATATTATTAATTTACAATAAGTATTCGACATGTGTTTAACGTGTTACTTTTAGTAGCATATTGCTTTGCCCTAAATTAACATGTATAGTTTAAAATTTACCTATTATAGAACAAAACTTTGTTTGGAAATTGTGTTCACATAATTACCAATAGATGTCGCTGTTTTTGCAGAGAAGAAGTATTATCACAGCCAAGGAAGGGGTGTTTTTGTTCAGATATAGGTACTATTATTACATAATACAGCTAAACGATATATTATTCATGTTGAATCTATCATTTTTGTATTTATAATAATTCATAACATTAAGGGGACCATAATCGTTATAATTCAGTAGGTACTATAAAACTATCTTAATTGAAATATTGATAATCACAATATAAATACGAAATTAACTTTACGATAATTGAAAGGATTTCAATAAAGTTTATCATTGCGTAAATTAAATAGACACTAGCGCCACTCTAGAACTTCTTTCATCAAAAGTTGTTAAATTAGCAATAAGATTCACACGGCTGTCACTTCCACCACAAGCTTAGTAATCGCTGGCGGCTGATTGATGAGTCCTCCCCCTCTACCCCCTCACCGTTTAGACTTAACTGATCCATGCTCAAGAGATCTATTACCACTCCATACTTTTATTTCACACATTTGCTAATGCTAATGGGTATATATAAAATAAATTTTGCGAGAATTCCGCATCCTAGATTTCTTAAACAGTAGATAATATACTCAATCAATTATTAATCTTTGCTTCTAACAAACAAATTTTATTAATATACAGTGGTGTCATCATATTTTCTAAAACTCCAAATTCCGATAATAGATGTCACTTAACTTAATATATCATTTCTTACGATAGCGCCGTCGTGAAGGATAGTAATTTGACAAATACTTAATTCAATAACCGGGTACTAGATGTCAGTTCTCAAATTAATAAGATAATATCGAATGTGTTATTTTATTTTGACCGAATTTCCTGCCGTAAGGTTTTGTTCTACTACAATTCACTGCTGTATACAGATTACAATTCAAATTTCATGACTACGTTGTTAAATGATTTTTTCAATTTTACCTTTGTTTGCAAACATAGGTATAATAATTTGAATAGAACAATTAAAAACTCGCATTGTACCAGTCCTTTTATTATCTATTTATTACCTCTAGATACCCCAGTAATCCTCCTATCAGTCCCTCCTTTCAGAAGAACGCGTTTTGGCCAAAACTCACCGATATTCAGATTGAGCATTCTGATAAACGATTCTCTATTAGTCTGGATTACCATAGTTGCTCCCCTCACACATTGAAATCAATTTTCTTTTAGTTTTATATTTTATAAATCGATGTACTTTTTTTTCCTTCGTGTTTGTTATGTTTGCCTTTAAGTGCTTGTCACGTTAAATCTTGTATTTAAATTGTTTTATACAGTACCAATGTATCAGTGTGCCTAAAATATTATATATTTTACTATAGAGCAATTAGGTAATCTTGTTAAAATTAAGGAAACTGTAAACTAATGGCCGTTTTGGCTTAATTTAAAGTTATCAACAATTTAATGGAAGGGCGCATCGGTTCTCCAACCCTCGGTGCCCTCTAGACGTTGATAAATTAACTATAATATTGAAGTGCAAGACTCAGCGGGAAAATTAAATTAGCCGAACGCTTTTATTGCCCTCTAGTCTTAGCTTAAATTATAGAAAGTCCGTCTAAACTTGACATTTTTACATTAACACGTGTTAAACGAACCACAGTGTTTAGGGTTGCAACTGGCGGAAATTTGTGGAATATAGGTATTTAATTAAGTACCACTTGAGGTTATTAAAATTATATAGCATCTATAATTCGCTACATGCCTAGGAACAAATTTAATTATTAGTGATATTGGTGTATATTTAGAAACAAATGTCAATGGTTTTTGGCGGGAGTTGAACAGAAAAGTTCGCGCCGAAACTGTTTTTGTAACCTTATATATAAGTACTTTTGAAACTAAATCATATTGTATAAGTGAAGTACTTATTATTTATTATATCTTATATATATGCACTTAACTCATAACTATAGAATATCCGCAGGAGAATTTAAATTAGAAGGTGTATACAATAGAAATTGTCGGCGTCGTTTTGTTTCTCGGTTAACCCTACCTCCGAGGCTACATTAACAAGTGTAGAAATTATTATTCATTATTTGTAGTCGTGTGGACCTTATGGCTTTCTGCGGCATTCTGCATTTGTTAAACATTAATGTACAGTCGCGGTTTACTTAGGGCAAAGTATGCATAAGTGTTTCTAAGTAATGATCGTTCTTAAAAAGCGTGCGAATGAATAACGCTAATAATTTGTAAGTCAGCGCTGAAATGGACGCAAAATATTCAAACGGAATGCGAAAGAATTTGTGTAATTACTTATTAATTTAGTGCTATAATATATACAATGTTGCAAATAGGCTAATTTCATATTTACAATGCATTGATCGGAATTCGGTATGAATAGTTTAGGTAATAATTTTTCCACGATCTTTATATCAATTAAATTTTGCTTTTTGAGTGTATATACTTTAGTATAAAAAAATCAGTGGTACTACAACCTTTGTAGGTCTGAGCCTCAGATTTCTGTATCTGTTTCATGATCATTTGTCTAAGAGGCAAGTAGGTGATCAGCCTCCTGTGCCTGTCACACACGCTGTCGACTTAGGGTCTAACGCAAGCCGGTTTACTCACGATGATTTCCTTCACCACCGTTCGCTCGAATGTTAACTTTTAAGTATAGAAAAAGAAATAATTAAAAAAAACATTTATTGTTATATTACATGTTTACATATTAGTGATGTTTGCATTCCGTATTAATCGTTTTCGTTCCCGATGTTGGCCTACATCGAGTTAAAAATAAATGCTATTCACGTGACGATGAATCGCTTCCAGGGTTGCCAAGATAATTCAAAGGTAAAAAAATTACTAAAAAGTTTCTCATTTGTCAACCCTATTAAAGCGACAGACATTAAGGAGAAGTTATAATGGGTACAGTTTGTTCGCGAGGTTGTTCAGTTCTGGGGGCTTCCTTGGCGGGGCCAGTTTTAGTTATGGGGATGATCCTTTCACCGGAGTTTAGTGGTGCTCTTTTTGGAGCCGTGATAGTGAGGACGCCATCAGAAGAGAGAGAACTAACGACATCAGCGACATCGTAGCCAGTGGGGAGGATATAACGACGTGTGAATTGACGGGAAACGAATCCGTGTTCGTCCTGTTTCTCTTCGTGTTTGCCTTCTACAACCACTGAGTTATTGCAGGCCTTAACTGTGATGTCTTCAGGAGCAAATTGTTGAACATCAAGGATAACCTGAAATTTAAAAAATGGTGTTTAAGAAAACACGATGTCTGCATAATATTACTTAATAGGGATTTCTTAAAAACAGTCTCACTCAATATAGGCTTAGGTATAACAGAGGGCAAATGCACAGGAGGCTCACTTGATTTTAAGTGATACCGCCGCCCATTTTCGAGTGCGTTGCCGGCTTTTTAAGAATTGGTACACTCTTTTCTTGAATGAGCCTAAGTCGAATTTAGCCTAAGGGCAGCTGGTTCCACGTAGTGGTGGTGCGCGGAAAAACTGCCTTAAAATCACACTTGTGGCACGCCGGACGTCGAGGTGATACGGGTGGAATTTCGTATCCTGCCTCCGATGATGAAACTTTAATTTGAATTTTTTTACCCAAAAATTATGTAAACAAGTATTTGATTTAAGGAGTAAAGAAAGGAAGATGCCATATTTTGCTTGTTACTCAATATTTTAGTAACTTAACCCTCTAAAGTGGGCTGTGGGTATAAAAATCAATAAGAAATCAGTATTAATTAACCTGGTAAACCTGGTTGCTTTTTTGACGAGATGCAAATATCACTTAATATCAATTAAATTACCTCGAATTTCTCCTTAGTCAAATTAATTGTGCTCGAAGACTCCTGTCTCGCGAGACTCGTTCTCCATGGCCTGAAGTATGAATTCCTGAGAAGAGATGACGAGGGTAGGGTGGATAGGGAAGATAGGAGGTCGTCTCTGCGAAGGCCCATGCCGAAGTGCTGGTCCAGCAGGCGGGAGGGCCTCTCCCAGTCATCCCACCAGTCGCGGAACATCATTGGGACTATGGACATCTGCAATTTAATTAAGTTTATTAAAGGTGCTCACGGGTCTCCCCATAACAGCTGCGCTATGGGAGAAACCGTACCAAGAGGAGAGATATCACTAGCAGGGCAGCAGACACCTTACGGTGACACGACCTTCAGCAATGAAGAATACCAGAAGAATCTATAGGTGTTAGTTGATCCCATGAATTTACATAAATAAACAGTATCAGTAAAAATGCCAGTATCGAAAATACATAATTTTTCCCAAAATTAAAGTATATCCGAAAGACGCATTCCACATCGCATCTAAAAACTAGAACAACAGAAATCTGGAACCATTCCATGAATGATTCACCTGAAAACGCTTTTGGATCTGATGCAATACGATTTTCATTATCTTACATTGAAATTTTAGTCGATCTATTTTGAGATATTGAATCATATCTGTCGTAATATAGAATTTAAGAAAATAGATAATATATAAAATCTAAATATAAAATGCAATAATTAACTGCTGAAGAGGTTCGAAGACATTTTTTTATGTAACAGGAGGCAAACGGGCAGGAGGATCATCTGATGTTAAATGATATATAATGTACCTACTATAAGTGACATGGCCAGAAATCTTGCTAGTGCGTTACAGCACTTGATTGCTAAAGAATTATAACTATCTAGCTTACTTAAAATGACGTAAAATTAGATAAAGATGGATTATATGCAATTATTAATAATCAAAACAATAAATCTACCTTGTTTTGTTTCGTTGGCGCGCGCCGCGTCGTTGCTGTCGTATCGAGACTAAGGAGACCACGTTTCAGTAAAGATTTAAATAGAAATTTTCAGCTGCCCACGTTTGATGATTCAACGGGAACGCCTTGAACTTGACGAATTAGGGTGCACAGTTTATTGGGAATAATTGGATATTATTGGCACATTTAAATTATAGTTTTCTCAGACTGAGTTTTGACACCAGGCTCTCGCGCTGGCCACGATTGCTATAGCACCCGAATTGTCGAGTTATATAAATATTGTAATTATTAATTATTATTTTTGTAATCTATTAACTAATTCAGGCTAAGTACATCAACGAATAAGACCGATAATTATTGTAGTTAAGGTAACCAATCCGCACTATATGTCATAATCGTAAACCACCAAACCCGAAATAATTGATAACTCATTGGCATACATAATTTGATATATATTTAACCCTGAGGTACGCAATTAAAAAATAATTTCCTTAACAATACAAAAGATTGTTATATTTTGTATTATTTAATTATTCAATGTCGTACAAACAAATGCTAGCTTTTATGTTAAATTTTAATTAATATCGTAAATAATTGTTTTTCGAATCGCTAACTAAATTGTAGTCACTGTAGTGTCGTCTGAAGATTGTTAAAAATGTAATTGAATCAAAGAAAAGTGGGTGTTTTTAGAGAATAAATGCTGCATTTTTCGTGGGCGTAATGATCCAAACATCTAAATTTAATTCTATTGTCAAACAAAATTCTATCTTCGTTACGTCAAAAATCATTTTAGTTTAAGAATATATCATCATCCTCCGATGATACTTTATTCAGTATCAAGATTATTATTTAATGTGCCATTTGGTACTAAAATATAAATAGATTATTATGCTATGATTAGTCCACAAACCCAATGCCGCCATACGTTTGTCATATCTGCAAGTACTGTTACTACGACGCATTCACGGAAAATTTTATTTTAACATTAAGAATAAGATTTAGAAACGGCCGAAACTAATACATTTATAGTCCTGTTTGTTTCTTTTGATTAAAATAATTTTGAAATAGGCTGGAATTAAATATATTTCTACATAATATTCAATATTACGTGTAGTTTTCACTAGAAAAATAACAAATATAATCGTAGCAGTGTTAGCCCAATGGTTAAGCGTGTGAGTATAAATCTACGTGCACAAATGGCGTAATTTTTCTACCAGCTGCATTCCGCCGTTCCTCCGGCATCGATTCCGGCGTAGCATGATTTTCTATAGCTCTATCTATGGGTAAATGGACTTCGAAATTAAAATTTTGTATTCTTTTTGTTAAATTTGTCAAGCAAATTTGATCGTTTACAGGGCACTTTAGATATAGTGGATTTTTTTTTTTAAAATATAATGGCAATAGTTTTGACTTTATGCCAGTTTCAAGTAAAAGGTTGGGAAACTACACGCGAGAAAAAAATATAGTGGACTTTTTGCACTTATGTATTCTAAAAAGCTGTAGGACATCACTTTGCTCTATTGTCAGCTTAAGTTACCACAGCGTATGCGATATAGTAATTTTTATTTGTTTCTCACAACTGGGTTACATAATCGATGTTTTCATACAGATGCCAAACTTTTTTAAAAATATTTGACAGCCTGTATTCATCAGGGATAACATATACTTCAAATCGGTCCAGTGGTTTCGGAGTCTACTCACTGCAAACCAACAAACAATAAGATCTTTTCTTTTTAAAATATTAGTGTAATTGTATAAAGTAACATTTACTCGTAAGGAAAACGTGGCGATACGGATGGTATTTTGTACTCTGCCTTGTCGTCCGATTATGAAATTATGTTACGGCCATAATTTAACTAAAGATCGCTGAATAAGGGCCTCATCCCCCCCCCCCCCCCCCCCGGGGGGGGGGGGGGGGGGGGGGGGGGGGGGGGGGGGGGGGGGGGGGGGGGGGGGGGGGGGGGGGGGGGGGGGGGGGGGGGGGGGGGGGGGGGGGGGGGGGGGGGGGGGGGGGGGGGGGGGGGGGGGGGGGGGGGGGGGGGGGGGGGGGGGGGGGGGGGGGGGGGGGGGGGGGGGGGGGGGGGGGGGGGGGGGGGGGGGGGGGGGGGGGGGGGGGGGGGGGGGGGGGGGGGGGGGGGGGGGGGGGGGGGGGGGGGGGGGGGGGGGGGGGGGGGGGGGGGGGGGGGGGGGGGGGGGGGGGGGGGGGGGGGGGGGGGGGGGGGGGGGGGGGGGGGGGGGGGGGGGGGGGGGGGGGGGGGGGGGGGGGGGGGGGGGGGGGGGGGGGGGGGGGGGGGGGGGGGGGGGGGGGGGGGGGGGGGGGGGGGGGGGGGGGGGGGGGGGGGGGGGGGGGGGGGGGGGGGGGGGGGGGGGGGGGGGGGGGGGGGGGGGGGGGGGGGGGGGGGGGGGGGGGGGGGGGGGGGGGGGGGGGGGAGGGGGGAAAAGGGGGGGGGGGGGGGGGGGGGGGGGGGGGGGGGGGGGGGGGGGGGGGGGGGGGGGGGGGGGGGGGGGGGGGGGGGGGGGGGGGGGGGGGGGGGGGGGGGGGGGGGGGGGGGGGGGGGGGGGGGGGGGGGGGGGGGGGGGGGGGGGGGGGGGGGGGGGGGGGGGGGGGGGGGGGGGGGGGGGGGGGGGGGGGGGGGGGGGGGGGGGGGGGGGGGGGGGGGGGGGGGGGGGGGGGGGGGGGGGGGGGGGGGGGGGGGGGGGGGGGGGGGGGGGGGGGGGGGGGAAAAAAAAGGGGGGGGGGGGGGGGGGGGGGGGGGGGGGGGGGGGGGGGGGGGGGGGGGGGGGGGGGGGGGGGGGGGGGGGGGGGGGGGGGGGGGGGGGGGGGGGGGGGGGGGGGGGGGGGGGGGGGGGGGGGGGGGGGGGGGGGGGGGGGGGGGGCGCCCCGGGGGGGGGGGGGGGGGGGTGTGGTGGGGGGGGGGTGTGGGGGGGGGGGGGGGGGGGGGGGGGGGGGGGGGGGGGGGGGGGGGGGGGGGGGGGGGGGTTTGGGGTGTTTTTGGGGGGGGGGGGGGGGGGGGGGGGGGGGGGGGGGGGGGGGGGGGGGGGGGGGGGGGGGGGGGGGGGGGGGGGGGGGGGGAAAAATATAAAAAAAAGGGGGGGGGGGGGGGGGGGGGGGGGGGGGGGGGGGGGGGGGGGGGGGGGGGGGGGGGGGGGGGGGGGGGGGGGGGGGGGGGGGGGGGGGGGGCCGGGGGGGGGGGGGGGGGGGGGGGGGGGGGGGGGGGGGGGGGGGGGGGCCCCCCCGGGCTTTTTTTTCCCTTTAATTGGGGGGGGGGGGGGGGGGGGGGGGAAAAAAGGGGGGCCAACAACGGGAAAAATTATTTCTATGCCCAAAATGTGTGCAGGTGCATAGTCTTGTAACCATTTACGCTGCCATACCAAGAACAGATTGGTTTTATTTTGGCCACGATCATCTGAAGGTTGGGGGGTGTGGGCTGCGCCCGGGGAGGGAGAAAAAAGATTGAAAGAAAGGAAAAAAGGCCCAGGAATTTTCTCTGGTGGTTTCGGGCAGGAGGTCTTCGGCCAGGTATAGATAAACGGTCTTATTAACAGTTATGGCGATTTTGAATTTCCAATTACCACGAAATTGTAAATACAACCTGTATATTGTGGTTGGCACGGGGGGGGCCTTTTTGGAAATGAAAATTAAAAATTAAAATATTTTCGCTGTTGTGTTAGCTAGGAAGAGAGTTTGAATTCTGAGTAGGGGGCCTAATATTTTTATTTTCATCCGGGTTTCTGCGATAAACATTTTGAAAGTTTACTATCTGACTCAGATTTCGAGGGCAAGTTTTAATTTATATTAAATTTGTTCTCGGCCCTTTTTGGTAGGGTTGTGCGGTTACCGGGCGAGTGCTTAATGGTTAAACCGTACATGGAGGACACGGATCGAATATTCCTAAGGCAAGCACGAATTATAAAAAATCTTATATTTGACGCTGGCTAATGCACAAACCGTGCCAGAGCCATAAAGGAAAAAAAAAACAAGATCGCTGACATGATAGCACAGAAGACTGATAAAGCACCACAATCACCTTATCTGCTTTTAATCCAATCTTTTGTTGCGTCCTTTTCCGTGATAGCTGGGGGGGGGCGTTTCCTTTATTAAATATAGAAGTAATCTTAGAAAATGTTAAAAGCGGGGGAAAAAAAAAAACCACAACCCACAGGCTTCGGTTTCTGCAAAACGGCAGTTATTTTCATAGATAGTTATATTCTGTTTCCGGTAACTATTTTATTTTTATGTCATGATTTGACAATTGACTAATGAAAATTAAAAAAAAAAAAAAGGAAAATTTTTGGTTTTTTTTTTTTCAAACCGACACATTTAATGTTAGTCGTTTGTGACAATTGTGTTATTTTGAAAGATATTCTTTGTCTTTCTGTGTAGTGACTAATGACTAGGGTGTAGTAATCTGTGTTTGAAACTTGAAGGTATATTAGTAAACACGGACCGCCGCCGGTAGGAATAAATTATTTCTTGATTTAACGTTAATATTTGTAAATATTATTTTTAAAAGTTGATTCATCCCTAGAGATAACACAGTCACAGGAAAACAAGTTTCAATGTTTTACAAATGATTAGTTGGTAGATTATACGATCACGTTTTAACAAAACATTGTATGTCAAAGTAAGTTTATCACTTTTATCAGCATATTTAGCATATCAGGATTTGAGATTATCTACCCATTTTACTTAGGGCCATAATATAACTTTAACTACACATTCCTCGTTAAGTACTTATATTTATATATATGGCCAAAAAACCTACAAAATCAATCAATTAAAACCAATATACAATTCATTCCTACAGAGAGTTATTGCTTCACAGACCGGAGGGGAAATTGCAAAGCAAATGTTTCGTTAAGTTTACTGACATAGTATTAACTATTAACCTGTGCAGTGTGCAATCATGTTATTCTGGCTTCAACATAAATGGTCTGGACTCTGGCTACTTATATTCGCCTTTGGCAGTCTAACACTTTTTCTTTATGGCTTTTTTCCATTAAAGTATCATTCTGGCAAATTAGCTCATATGGATGATTTGCCAAATTTTATAGATGGAGTCAGGTAAGGATAAAAACACATAAGAATTTGTAGAAACTAATATTGTATTATTTAAACTTACATTAAAAGGTAATATATTTTTGAAAGAACCTAAAATTTTGTTTGAAATATTTACTGTTGTTTAGTCAATATTATCTATTTCAGTATTGATGGCCATGAAGTGTACAATTCTGGTGAAAACAGTGTCATTCTCATGGTCATAGATGGGTTACGCTATGACTTTGCAGCTGAGGAATATATGCCTTACACTGGCCAGTTAATTAAAAACAAATCTGCATGCATTTATGTTTCTGTTGCTGAGCCACCAACTGTCACAATGCCCAGGATTAAGGTATGTTCAAGTTTTGTTTTTTCAGTGTGGTTATTTAAAAAATATCTCTACTCTAAAAGTTTTATTATACTATTTATAATAATGTTACTTTCTTTTGAGGTTAAATTAATTTTTAATGCTACTTCATATTTGTGACTATAAAGGATTATTATAATATTGTATGATGTGTTGATTATATGATTATCTATGTTTATCTTTTTTATTTTATGAAAAATTTATGCAGTTTTATAACTGTTGAGGATAATGTTTATAACATATTCAATATTAGCTTCAATTTTAAAATATAAACTAATTGGATTAAAAGATTGGACAAATTTGTCTTATATCTAGTATCCACAATGCCAAAGAAAAAATATTAAGATGATTTAACTGTGGTTTCTGTAAACATCTTTGTAATATTACACAGTCACCTGAACGTAAGAAGGAAAAGGCACAATGGAGGCGCACAATAAACTTCTGGCGGGATATATTTGCAAGTGTCACTTTATGTAACTATTACACGCTTTTCAATACTTTACCAAAGAAAAACCTTGGTATTTGTGAATGACTATTATTTTTTGTAAAAAACACTTAAGTTTTTTCTTTGGTAGTGTGGTAATATTAATCAGTGTTATATATTCATTCATACATATTGTTTAATAAAATGAACACAGCTTTGAGCTTGAACATAGCTTTCAAATCTTGTAAGTTCATGATTGAATAATTTATATAAATGAATGTATAAACAAGTTCCAATTTCATGATTAATTACATTTGATACCATCATTTCATAATCATATTTCAGCATGTTTTACTTTCTCATTTTTGCCTGGTCTAAATTAAGGCTTATTGCTATTGATATAAAGTTGTATTGGAAATTAACCCATGATGCATGAATGCACCTATAACCTGCTTGCACCAGTGAATCACATTGAATACAGGTTTTAAACTAACAAAGTATTGTGTCAATGGCTTAATGTTTGTGTAACTATTGCATATATTGGTTCATTATTGCTCTAAATTTACCCATTTTCACTTCAGATTTTTCTTATACTGAGCCAAGTTTTTTTTTAATTTCAGGCAATGATGACCGGTAGCGTGTCAACTTTTGCGGATGTTGCTTTGAATTTTGGCGCGCCCGCTGTCAAAGGCGACAGCATACTTCGGGTTGCGTCATCTAGGGGTCGCCACTCCGTATTATATGGAGATGACACTTGGTTGAGGTTATTTCCTGGGTTATGGACAGAATCGGACGGAACGACGTCATTTTTTGTCACAGATTATACAGAGGTACAACCAAAGTTAAAATTTTGAAATATTCTATCCAAATATGTTGATATTTCTTTTGATATAAGGATGCTTATCATTTTTAGGTGGACAACAACGTCACCAGACATTTAGATAGCGTACTTACTCCTTTAGAAGATAAAAAACCCAAATTCGATTTCCTAGTACTTCACTATTTAGGCTTAGACCATATCGGGCATCTAGAGGGAGCTAGGAGTCCAAAAATTAAACCAAAATTAATAGAAATGGATAGTATTGTGAAAAAAATACACACGGCTATGCAAACATGGGTTAGTGATTTTATTCTTATATTAAACGTTTCTATAATAAATTTCGTAAAATTTTAACAATATTTAAGGGAGGGTTTTTTACTTAAATATCTTACAGAGCTTGGAAATTAAAATTACATTTACTCATACGAAATAATTGTTAAAAGTATCGAGCTTTCTTTGACTTTACACAAATAATTATCAAAGTTATAAATAATTGCGTAAGATATTAAGAGATTTTTAATGTTTAGGACAGATCAGGGGTACTAATAATATGCGGGGACCACGGAATGCGGGACGCGGGGGGACACGGAGGGGCTTCGCCCGCCGAAGTGCTGGTCCCTTTAGTCGTGCTCAAGAGCACGGACTTCCAATGCCCACACGAGTGCGTGTAACTTGGTATACCTAAATATATAAAACAAAGTCGCGTTAGTTTTACCACTTATAACTTAAGATCGGCTGGACCGTTGTTAGTAATCTCTTTTCTGCTCCGAATAGCAGAATAAGTAATAAAATATCGGATAAGATATCGAATAACAATAAATTAATTTGATGCAAATGCAATGCAAAAAACATGTGGTGCCATCTGTTGACAAAATTACGCATATAAAAGAAACCCACTTTGTTCTTGCGCCGGATAACAAAACAAAAAATGTTCTATATCAGAAAGTGCAACATGCAGTATCGCAATATTGGCGCTAGAGAGAAGAGGGCTAGTGTGTAAAACTTCCATTCTTTTTTCGCAATGGCAAGCAATAAAACTTTTCTGTATTCGCAAAAAAAGTTGTATTACCTGAATGAAATCCTAAATTAAGTTAGTTAGTACTAAAGTTAACACGATATTATTTGACTGTTAGGCGGAACAAAGTTCGCCGGGTCCGCTAGTAGCTTATAAATGTCGAAATAAAATTTTCCCAAACACCAAAAAGGTGATCACTTATTTGTTTGCCTAATAAAATACTCCAAACGTTGTTTTTTTTACATAAATGTTCTGTCTATGTGTTTTTAAAGTTTAATAATAATAAAATGACATATAGACCAGTGCAGATAGCCTTCAAAATAAATAAAAAGTGAAAAAAAAATACAGTAGGATGAAACCCATTAGAAAAGCAGGGGAATATGATCAAAATAATAGGAAAAATAAATTACGGTCGATCTGAGGTCGGTAAGGGGTAAGGGGGGAGCTTTAAGGGTAAAAAACGGTTTATCTCGATTTCCGGCAAAACTAAAAGTCCTATCGAAGAAAGTTAAATCGCAAAGTTGTAGGTAATAAAAAGATCTAAAACTTTTGTATTCACACATTTTTCACATAACCTCAAAATTTATGTGAAAAATTCAAAAAACCAAGTTTTTTGTTTTTAATTTTTATCTTTTATAAATTTCTTTTTTTGTAACGAAATTTGGTGAAAACTTACCTTATTATGTCCCAAATATACTGTAATTTATTTGATTAAAAATATTTATTTTTTCACCTTATTTTGAATTAATATCGAAAAAACACCCTAATTTTCAATCGAAAATTCTGACGTCAAAATTTCAGCTTTTTTCAAAAAGTTGGTGTGCTTTCAGTTCGTTGAAATCTCTACTTTCCTATGGTAAAAAAATATATATATTACCATAGTAAATCTTCTCAGAAAATGCAAAACATCGTGTGCAGTAACGCCCAGACCCGTCATACCCTTCCCTACTTCTCTATGAAATACGAAAATTTTAGCCCATCTAAAGGCTAAAAATTTTTTTGGGTCACTCAGGTATATATAAGTTATCTTAAAATAGTAATAAATAGGCATCTAATTATAATTTAAAGAAGATTCATAGAGAAGTAGGGAAGGGTATGACGGGTCTGGGCGTTACTGTATACGATGTTTTGCATTTTCTGAGAAGATTTACTATAGTAATATATATATATTTTTTTACCATAGGAAAGTAGAGATTTCAACGAACTGAAAGCACACCAACCTTTTGAAAAAAGCTGAAATTTTGACGTCAGAATTTTCGATTGAAAATTAGGGTGTTTTTTCAATATTAATTCAAAATAAGGTGAAAAAATAAATATTTTTAATTAAATAAATTACAGTATATTTGGGACATAACAAGGTAAGTTTTCACCAAATTTCGTTACAAAAAAAAAGAAATTTGTAAAAGATAAAAATTAAAAACCAAAAACTTGGTTTTTTGAATTTTTCACATAAATTTTGAGGTTATGTGAAAAATGTGTGAATACAAAAGTTTTAGATCTTTTTATTACCTACAACTTTGCCATTTAACTTTCTTCGATAGGACTTTTAGTTTTGCCGGAAATCGAGATAAACCGTTTTTTACCCTTAAATCTCCCCCCTTCCCCTTCCCGACCTCAGATCGACCGTAATTTATTTTTCCTATTATTTTGATCATATTCCCCTGCTTTTCTAATGGGTTTCATCCTACTGTAATTTTTTTTGGTTTCAAAAATTATCGGCACTGGTCTAATACCTGTGTCATCAGAGACAGTTTTGAATAGCAGGCTTGCGTCGTGTAAAATTTTTATATGTGTTTAGATTAGGTCCAGGGCCCGTGGTGGCACAAGTGGACATAGCCCCGACAATATCTTGGCTACTAAACGCCCCCATCCCTGGAGACAGTACGGGCAAATTTCTGCCATCTCTGCTACCGAGTGATATCAGGCAACACTTGTATTTACTACACGTGAACGCTCTTCATAATGTCAAGCAAGGCGTACCTACCGATACCGGTTAGTGTTGCCATTTAAATGATTTTTGTGTAAATTAGAATAAGTATTTACTTATGTGATTTTTAGAAGTATCCTGATTTAATTGATTAAAAGTAGTTCTTTAATCGACGTTTATATTTAGATAACCACCATGGGTGTTTTCAAAAAGTTTTATGGAAACAAAACAATAGAGGTTTGTATTGTTTAAAAATTAAATTTTTGTTAATGGGCTGTTGAAGTTGTTGTTGGATTGCCCAATGTATGTGAAAAGGGAGCTCATGATATTGAATCAACTGTGTATTTTTTTTTTATAAAATGTTAAGTGACGTTAAAAATTGGTACGCTCTTTTTGAAGGACCCTTAGTCGAATTGGTTCAGAAATACTTTAGTGGACAGCTGGTTTCACATAGTGGTGGTGTGCGGCGAAAACTGCCTTAATAACGCTCAGTTGTGGACGGATGTCAAGGGTGTGGAATTTTGTATTCTGCCTCGACGTCCGATGATGAAACATCTTTCAATACCTACCTACCTCTATCAAGCAATCCTAATTACAAACATATATGTTTCTGGCAATATCGGCCTTTGGCTTGAGCGCGCGACTCTCTTCAGTAGGGTTCGTTCACCTATGCGCACATCTAATACTCGCTCGTTTTTTATTTTATTTTTTATTAAATCCTCGTCAAACAATACGCTCTTACGGTGTAGTAAAATATCGTGAGGAAACCGACACGCCTTAGACCCATTTGCGCCTCTGATTTTTATATATTATGTTTCAGAATATTATAAGCAATTCAAACGCGCAGAAACCCAATTCGCTCGTTACCTCTCAACGGGACAACAGAGTGCCGCTCGAATCGCGAAAGAGTTCTACGACGAATCCTTGGCCGCCATGTCCAAGCAATTATCAGAAGCAACCACGGACTTCGACGTGTTCGCTTTGGGATTGGCTGTCGTGTTTTTATATTTGGTGAGTACATTAAGTAAATGTTTTTACGATGCGATATTCATCTCTTTATTGTTTTTTTGGTTTTTAAAGTCTTTAAACACCTTTAATCCGAGAAACGTGCGTTAGTTGCCCAACAATGGGAGCGTTCAAGTATTACGTCACGCAATTTTTGGTTTTCGTCTTCTAACCTAACCTAACCCCCCCCACCCATGTTACGCTCCGTAACGTTTTTCTGTACCCAATAGTTAAACATTTCGTGACCACCCAGTACTGGAGTTGAAAATAATATTAACAATAACGCGTAATTCAATCCCCGACCCGCATCATAACGTTTTACAAAAGGAAAAAAAAACATCACGCAATACTTGAACGCTCCCAAAGTCGTAAAATCAAAATCTATTTCTTTTTTCAGTAAAAATTAAAGAAGGTAATGCTATTATTACTAGGATATTAAGTACATTACATATACAAATATATATCAAATGAAAGCAGTTTTTTGTATTAAGTGTAAATAGTTAAAAAATAACTAAATGTATAAACAGTAATTTATCTAATTAGACTGAAGAGCTCACTGTTTAATCATAATTACGGACGGCACATTACGACGGTATGTTTAACGAATGTCTAGAACGTAATAATGTATTACCGCTTCACGGAAACATTACGACCTTGGTAAAACAGAGGTATATTATTACCACTCTTTATTTGTTTTTAAACAATCGCATTAACTTTTATGATTATTTGGTAGAATTACAATCTAAATTAAAACTATATTTGTAGTTGCTATCTATTTCAGGGAAGTAAAATTAGGTAAACGAGTATTACTAACATTATGCACAAAATAATCTCCGTAGAATATCCTTGTGTTTTTTATAATAAAAATGTTTTACAAAAAAAAAAAAAATAGATTTATGAGAAAACATTAAAACAGTCTATACTAACAGTAGTTAGTAGAATTGAAGAAAGTAGTAGTTAGAATATTTTTTATGTAATAAAAAATTATAATTAAAAAAAATTCTCGTCACTTCCTTTCGTAGTAGTAATAAAGAAGAACCTATTTCTTTCTAGATGTTGACGGCCCTCGTTTGCGTGACTCTGTACTCCCTCCAACCGGAAAACCAACGTAAGATAAGCGTGACGGACAAACACAAAACGAACTTGGGCACGGTTGTCGCGTTTGCGGTGATCTTCGCGATCATCGCCTCGACCCTCACGTTGACCTGCTTCATCAGCGAAACGAGGAGCCAGTTCTGCTCCTTCGGGCCCTCGTGGTCCGCCGTCTTTTTGGCCTCGGCCGTCGCTCTGACCTTCGCCTACTTCCTCGTGAAGATCGGTTTGGAGAAAATCCGGGATCTGTCGACGTTGCGGGATTTGAATGCGATCGATTTCCTGCTGATCCTCGGCACTCTTTTCCACGCCTGGTCGTTCTTCGGCACGAGTTTCATAGAGGAGGAGCACATGACGTGGTACTTCTTTTGGAATACGCTGATGTTCTTCGTGTTGGTGCGAACGATCGTGGTGATCGTTTTGTACTTCGGCAAGCGGCTGTCGGGGGCCACCGAAGTTCAGGAGAAGCCGGAGTTGGAACACCGAATGAGCGACGTCGGCGTCGGTATCGTGCCGAAGTGGGTGTTGTTGATCGGTTTGCATAGGTGAGTTAATGATGAATTTTGATACATGAAACGTAATATATTTATGAAAATATTATGTATGTATACAAAAATAGTGATAAGTTTACTAGAATAGAACATACGCACAATGTTAATACTCGGAACAAACGCAGGCTGCAATTTCCCCGTACTAAGTCAAAAGTCAAATCATTTATTTCAATTAGACCACCTAAAATGGCACTTTTGAACGTCAAAAAAAAATACAAAGAAGATTCTAGTTGCCCTTTCCAAAAGGTATTTTCGTGTGGAGAAGAATGGGCAAGAAACTCCACACTTACTCTTTTTAAAATAGGTTTACAATATTTTGTTACATTTGTTAAATAATTATATGTGAAGACACTAGACTATCTAAAGTTAGTAACTCTTTTTTGGTAAAAGGGATACTTTTCTTTAAGCTATGTATTAAAGAAAAGCTGTGTAAAAAGGCTTACTATAAAGTCAACGATTATCTAGTTGATAAAAGGGCCTGGGACTAGTGCTAGACAGGCTACTTCTAATTAATTTGCGATATTTGTTTGTTTTAAAATAAGTGTTGTTTGATGATTTGCTGTTTTAAAAGAGTACCGAGAGTTTTTTACGCCGGCTTTTTCTCTCGGCCTACACCCTCTGTCTTCTTTGCCGATGAGTAGGGATGCCTACAGATTCAAATTTAATGACGTTGAATAAGTGATACCTGTATCTTATATTCTATACTAAACATATTTTTTTTAATGAAAATAATGTAATCATTTCACGATTACACATTAAAGAAACTATATTTCAATATTTGAACCGGTGAACAGGTTTGGGTGGACTTTGTGATGGAAAACGTGTTGTATAAAAAATAAGAATCCGATGAATTGCAGATATCTCCGTACAATGAACCAAACGGGCGACAGGTGGCTCTTCCTTCCAGACACGGCCGATTGGTTGAACGCTCCGGAGAACTCGATTTATCTCCAAGCTCATCTTATTATAGGTAATTAGTAATTTAAACAGAAAATGTTGCAAAATCGAAAAGAAAAAAATAGTAAATACTTTTCAGGCACTCTCGCGACCTTTGCGATCTGTCTCAGAAACATCCGCCACATGAACAACCATCTGAAGATACATTCGGTGCTCACAATTCTGTCCACGCTTTGTATATTTCTGTACCGAATCAGCGCGGGATCCATCCGTCTGCCGAACGAAGTCCCGAAATGGGACGCAGAGCAAGTGGTCCAAGTGTTTTGGTGGCTTTTAGCCGCTCAAACTATATTCGAAGTCATCACTTATGTCGGTGAGTGTACGCTGTGTAAGAACTTTGATTTTGACTTCTAAAAATATATCTTAATAATCTATTAATCTTTAAAAGAAAACTTATCAATTTAAAAAAAACGGAAGGAAAGGCAAATAAAAACGCGTTTATCAAAATGATTGAAAATGTTGTAGGTGCGTTTCCGAACGGGAATAGGTTCGTTTATAACAAGCCCAAAGCGAAAACCGAAGATTATTTCTACGACAACGCGGAAGAACCGTGGAACTTGAACGACGTCAAGTTAAACTTAGCCAGATCTTTGACTCACATAATGTACAATCAAATGATGCTGATAATAGTTCTGTTGATGCGTCCCCACAATGTCATCATGGTGCCCAGCATCTATATCACTTGCCTGCTCACGGCTAAATGCCTAGACCATAAGTTGTTGGATTCGAGACCCGGAAGAAACACGGAGGGCGCCGACACTTTGAGTCTAACTTTAGCGCACATTTGGATCGGAGCTGTGTTTTATTTTTACCAGGTGAGTCTTACACAACGACGGACCTTGGCAATGGTCTGTCTTATATATAATCTGGGGAAAATTATGAGAGTAAATTCTTACGATGCACACCGTCACAAAAAAGCCGACACCTTAAAGTCGGCATAGTCAACATTTTAAAATAAAAAAAAATCCATTTTTTAATTACTTAGAAATATTTTTTTGTGATATTTAAATAAACCTTATACAGCTAGATAATGCGTTATAATAAAACTTTTAATGTATTAAATACCTTTTTTCTATTGTTAGTGTCGTTTTTTTTACAAACGTAGAATAAGGCGAAAGATAAAATGTTTAAAAACATTTTTATCTTGTTACGCCAACGAAGTATAACTTCTAACGCATGTACATAAGTGCACACACTTTTTTTTTAAATGCGTGGTCTCGTGGCATTTCTCTCGATGTCACGTGTGATTGCTTAATATAGCAAATCAATTCAATGTGTTATATTTTATTATGATGTCTAATTATTTAGGGCAACTCCAACAGCCTGGCCTCGGTGGACCTGGGCTCGGGTTACGTGGGTCTGAGTGAATACAGCCCGGTCCGGGTCGCCGCCCGCATGGGCCTCCATGCATACGCCGGGCCCGCTTTGTCTGGGGCGCATTTATTCTGCTCGTTGCCTTATACAGATATTAACAGGTAAAAATACGAAATTGCGTTTCTCTGAATAAACAAAATCTAATGCGCGTCACCGATTAAGCCCACCTAACTGACATTGAGCTGTCGGGTGTCACAGGTGACGCGGCAATTTTAAACTTCAGTGCCACATACTTTTCTCGCCTGGTAAGATCGTCGCTGTCATGAATATTAGTATTGCCAGTATATAAAAGTTAACTATTATCTGGGGAATAAATTGAAGTCATGCAGGCTAATTAAAAATTTATTGAAATGTCTTTATAAAACAATGTATTTAGAAATACAGTTCTAGGCCTAAATAAATGTGACATAAATTTAGGAACAATTGATATGATAGGTTTTGTTACCTGTTCTATTAATATAATATCTTTTAAGAAACCTAGCAATCAGAACCGTTCGATAATTAAACCGTTGCCATTAAAATTATAATACAAGAAAAAAATACATTTTAGTTGGATTTTTATTAGATGTAAAATATTTATTGTAAGCACCAAAATGGCGATGGTAGTACCAATTTCAGCCACCGGCCAAGAAAAGTATGTGGCAGTATATATGAATTTCATTCAGAAATATCGTTCAGAGCGTTCATATCGCCCGCACTTTATTTTCTCTTTTTTTTAATTTATATTTATAAGTGACACTTCTCATAAACTGTGGTGTAAGATTGCAGTTTGAATTTTTATTTTATTCGAAACGCCGTAATGTCACCGGTGCGAAGACATTGAATCCCCGAAAGTGGATCATAGAAAAATAATATATATTTATTTATTTGTGTTGCACTAATACTAATCTATATATTCCACACACTTTAGAAATAATAAAAGAGATTTAAGTATCTGGGAATTTGTCCACAAATCCAATCTCAACACAGCTGCACATACGAAGTCTTCGATTTGAGTTTTGTTTTAGATTAATAATAATTTTCAGATACCGTCAAGCAGTGTGGCGCGTTACAAACATAATGGCGCTACAGAGAGTGTACCAAGTCGTAATTTATTGCGTTATAGCGATAATATTCAGGCACCATCTGTTCGTGTGGTCGGTGTTTTCACCTAAATTGCTATACGACTTTGTCGCGACAATATTCTCCGTCCAGGCGTTGTTGACGATCGCAGAAATCGTTTGTTTGACGCACGTAGTTAGTTGGATTTCTAGGTGCATAACGTATAGGAGGGTAACTTAGTTTTTCAATGGGATATGTTTGAGATGAAAAATAAGTATATTTTTATATATACTATATATTATTCATTTAATTTTATTGAACAAAGCCTTTAGTGGCTTGATCTTCTGAGCCAATGAAGAATCACGTACACATTAACTTTACCATTTATATAAAGATTAATTTCAAAAGGTTTAGCAATCCTAGGACCGGAATACTTTTGAAATACGTGAATTAAGATTTAGGCCACTGGTTACTATGAAAAACTCCTGTATTAACTATTAAGCGACAATATTTTCTCATATTTAAAATATGATCTATTGAAAAGAAAATACGGATGCTCTAAATGTATGTAAAATATTTATAAGACTTAAACTGCAGGAATTTTTAGCATGTAAAAGATGGGTCTAGCAGGTAATAAACATTAAGTTCCGAGGCTATTTTCATTTTATTTTGTACGAGCATTATGTTTATCCTTGACACCAAATGCTAACATTAATATTCGGTAAACGAATATTAATTTTGTGTTTCATTAAGTAGTCTTTATTTATAAGATTTGATATAAACATTCCTGTGATATATCATATTGAACAATTATTCTACGATTATTTGGATAGGATATACAAATGTAGCATGTCGGTTGTTAACACAAAATTGAAAAATAAATTCCTGGTCGTGAGACAATTTGTACCAATGTATTATCCCACTTATCGGATCATAGGATTGTGACAATTTCCCCCTCATAGTTGATATACATAAAAAGCCAGAGTTCATTTTTTGATAATGTGTATTTTAATTGTATGCGGCATCAAGTGCACTGTGTAATAGGTGACATGGAATTCCGACTTCCGGAATCCAGATCTGGGTAGATATTTTATTTGTTTAATCCTGATAAATGGGGTTAATCGTCTTTATATGATCTTCGATCTTTCAGCTTGGTTGGCGCTACTTCAAAGTCGTAAAATTGACACTGAGTACTTGAAGATCGACCCGAAATTCTATTACACTGTGTTACGGTTTGAGTGAAATGTCGTTTCTTAATTTGCTATTCACTAATGTTCCCTTACACAAACGTTTAAAAAACTTTGGCGTATAAAATTGTAAGTTTGAAACTTATACTTTTCCTATTTTTGATATATGTATGTGTGCCATTATGTAATAAACATTTGTAACTATTGCATAGTTTTATTTTTTTTAAGACATCAAGGATTTCTCCGATCAAAGATGAAAAACAAAAAGTTTCCAACAATTTTATTCATAGACCACCAAACCAATGTTTCGATTAACCTAAATATCCAACACAAATATTTTGTTCATACAATTATTCTATTTTGATTTATTGAAAATGCCAAGTGCCGAAGTCTGTAAAAAAAGCACCGTAGAAAAAGTGTACCAGGAATCCAGTTGGAATGCGTATGTCTTAAACTATACATTTTCAAAAAATATTAGTCCACTTTAAAAAAAAATCCTATACATACAAAATAAGTTAGGATTTTGGCACTAAACTATATACAAAAAATCACACCAGAAAATGCCGATCGGGAAATGAAAGACTGATATGTCTAGAAATATAAAAATAAAATTTCTATCAAGTGTAGCAGTCGTTTTACCAAAATAATATTCTGATATTTTGTTTCTCTAAGTTAAAGCTCAATCAAAATGGAAGTTAGAAAATCAGCTACGTGCCACGTTCGTCGATAATGTTACGCCTCGGTTTTCCTGAAAACAAAAACAGACAATGAAGATAGTGCAAAATTGGCCAAACACATAATATTTGTAATAGATCCACCGTCCTATTTGAAATTACTCTGAAAGTCTAGGTTCAATTATCTGCGTAAAACCCTGTTTTAATGCTAGTTTATTCACCGAAAATTCTTTTTAAAAGCTCCGTTGATATTAAACAACGCAGCGCCAACTACACGAAGTTAGCTTTTTAAGAGCGGGCTGTAACCAAAACCACTCATCGTAGATTTGATTTTATCTAAGTATGTGATGCTTGAATTAAAAACTATAAATATGTATTGATCATTCACTATAATTTCAATGGTTGTCTCTAATTGAAAACACAATTTCTAATTTCATTTTATTATGGAGTTAATGTTAATTGAATTGCAGTTAGTTGGGCCGAGAGCTGTTACTAGCGATTTTATTATATATTGTATATTTTACGAGTTATTAGAAAAATAAGAATTTTGCGTTCACAAAACACTGTTCAGTTCAGTTCGTAAACACTGTATCGTCCGTCTCACTCGAACTCGCTCCAATGAGACGAGAACACTACGCTTCTTAGCGCTAGCACTCGATATATAATAATTACTCGATATATATATTTACCACGAGTAAAATAAAAAAACATTCCACACAAACATTAGTAAACTATATATATATATATATACAAAAAAAATATTAATGTTTTATCTAATTGTATTGCATCTGTTATGCACCGTTCAAAATGCCCTTGAGTTCGTACTATAGATGCGCGACCGTTGCGCCGCGGTGATAGCGTTTGTTAATAAAGCGGGTGGAGGGAGACGCGCGGGTGAAATCTTAAATTTTGCTAACCTAAGGCAGACCGCGCCTAAGGAGTTATTCCTAGCTGTAAGTTTTCTTTGAGGTTCAATGACAACCTTATAAAACTTTTGTATACTTTTACACTTGTTATCTCTATTCATCACTTTGTCTAAACAATACAAGAGAAAGAGGCGAGGAAGAACATTCTTTAAAGCAGTGAAAAAGGTTGAGATCAGAATAAATAGTTTCAAACTCACAGTCAATGTCTTCACTGCGGCTGATTCTTGTATCGGTAGGCCAATACACTGGCCACGCCCACCAACAGACTTAGCAGCAGAGATCCCCACACTAACATCTGACGAACATCGGCATTAGTTATATAATATATATATATCTCTCTTTAGTTCAGTCTAGGACCAAGATAACTATAGTTTCTGAGCACCTATTTGAGAAACGCCACAAAACCGTGATCACTAACAATCTCCATAGAATGTAAATCTTAATAGTAGCGGCGCATGGCTTTTAAAACTTTCACACTGCACAAACACAGTTTAAATATCTATCCTACAATTAATATTTAAAATAAACCTAATGGAGCAGATCTAGAAATAAATAAAAACCAGTCGAAAAGTTTTACACATATATACTATTAATATAATCTTCATAAAAGAAATTTGGAGCTCTGAAGACTAGGCTAGTAATGAATGAAACTTACCTTAGCTCGCCCTGGCTTTTTCTCCGGGGACGCTTTGCCCTGACCGCCCGTGCCCAACATTCGCTTGGCCAGTTTCCTTTCTACTGACTTGTCTCTGTTGGCCTTTTGTTCACACTTTTGTAACTCTTTTCTGACGCCAGTATCCTCGGGAGCTGCTGCCGCGGCGGCCCTTGCCGCCTGTAGGGCTTCGGAATTGCGCCCCATAGCGGTTAAAATACGAGATTTCCTATATAGTGCCTTCGCATTGTTCGGTTGGCAAGTGAGTACTCTCGTTACGGCCTGAAAAAATTCAACAAAATTAATATCGCTGAAACTATGGCATTTGCCGCAAAGTTTTGAAATATACTATTTGACCTGCAAGGCGGCATCGTAAGCTCCAGCCCTCAACTGCGCAGCGGCCATATTGTTGTGTACGCGCATGCGTTCGTCCAATAAGGCCATTAAAGCGTCAGAGGGCTGGGCCACCTCTCCGCTGGCCGTGGGCTCCGTGATGCCCCCTTCGCTCTCGTCGAGGACGTCCAGAGCCCGTCTGTACAACTGCACGGCCAGCTGCGTCTCACCACGACCATACCACCAGTTGCCTCGGCAACGACGACGGATGCTAAAAGATCAATTATTCTAATGTCCTCCCACAACCCACGAAGACTACAATACGATATGGCATGCTATTGTTACCTAACAAGTTTGTTACGTTTATATTATAAAATCTTAATTCTCTTATTACATAAAACATAAATAGGAAGTATGTATATTCGTCATGAGAATATTGTTTCCTTATGTATTATCTTGATAACTCAATTAGGAAAATAATTTAGAAAACAAATAATAATACATCGAAATCAATATCACATAATGTCAATTCTATTTATTATTTGAAAATTAAAATACTGTTCTTGGATAATCATTGTCTAGACCAACACTTTACTACACAAACTATGAATTGATAAAAATAAAATTTTAAAGAAACTTGATCCTATACATGTTCTAAAATATTATAATTTTAAATTAGATTAAAAGGAATAAAAATGCCGAATGACAACTTATTATAATATATGAAAAATAGATTCATCATTTAATTTCTAATATGTGTATAAGTTACAAATTTATAGAGGACATGAATAATTTTGTAGTTAGTATCATACATAACATGTAACAATGTATTATTATGGCTGATTTAAATAACTTACTTGTCCAATAAAAAAATTGCAATATTCTCACCAATGTCTAACCAAAATCTAATGGCACTCGCATTCAATATATTAATGAAAAAGTCTCACCCGATTTCCATTCTTTCAGCAATTGTTAATGTTTCATGTTCTGGTTCTTCCTCCCAATCATGTAATTCTAATTTAACTTCTAACCATGTCTCTGGACCAATTGATGGTCCCTCATATTTTGGACTGTTAATTTCTCCAACCAAACCCAAACTGTCTCCTGGATTTAAGCCGGTGTCGCCATAGGCAAACCTAGGAGCTATTTGTAGTAAACATATTTCACCTTTGTACATTAGTGTCAATGCTAAATCAAGACCTTGTAATACCTAGAAATATTCAAAAGATGTATTAAATACCTGATTTATTTAGAACATGGTCTGGTGTACTAGACAAAAGTTACCGAAAAGATTGATGCATTCAAGCTATGTTGGAACATAATATTTATGTAGCATCATAACATAACAAGTGTAAATCAAAGATGGAATACTAGACACTAGTATTCTTTATATATCAATAATGTAAATAATAATATATAATATACTCAGATTAGAACAAGATTTCAAGACATGATAAGATACTTATACATTGAATTATTCACATATTATTTTAATAACAGGAATAATTATTGTGTAATTTTAGATGAAATATTAACAACTAGACTTTAACTAAAAAATTACTACTGTATATTATTGCTTATTACATATATTAAAGATTTGTAATTAATTTAAGGTATATTTATGAAGCAAAATTTTTAATCAATTGGTAAGCAATTAAGTTTTAGTTGATATTGGAAATACAGAAGGCTCATAAAATTTATACATGAGAAAATAATGAGTAAGCTGTAATACATACTTCATTATCACCCAAATATATCTTCACTTGGTCCCGCTTTTCCATATTTTCATGTTTCCCATTCCTGAGTCTTATTTCATAACTTATCCTGCATATATCACTTCTTTGAGGCCGTAACCCTTCCGACTCATCACCTTCTTTAAGTATCTAAAGAGAAAATTTATCCAAAATAAATACACCAATTAATCTAGAAATAATAATTAAATTAAGGAGATAAAATTAGGTAACAAATATACCTTTTTCAATATAGACCCAGATCCTAACAGATCTTGCCACTCATTGGGACCTGGAGCCTTTCCATCTAGCTTAACCTTTTCTGCAGCTGCTGCCTCAGCCAACTTTGCTTCCTCGATTTCGTGAGCAGCTGCTGACGCTAGGTCTTCAAATGAACTACTTTCAGACTTGTCTACTAATGTACGCTCGTCTTCACTCATCTGAAATATTTTTTTTTTATTACGCATTCTTAACTTATCTACGCAACAGTTAATTTACCCAAGGATCTGTTACGTACATAACAAACAATTAAAATATCAGAAACCACATACCTTTCCACAAGATATCACAGAAATCACTTATAAATGAAACAGTACTGTAAATAGAATCATTAATATATTTTAAATGTATTATTTTTAAAGATCAATGTATTCTTTTTACGTGTTCAGATGACAATCCAACTTTTGCCTTACGGTAATCTGGAAGAAATTGGAATTTACAATTTACAAAAGACATGAAATTAAAATCCCTACTATCAAAGTCATATGAATAATGTTGATACCAATCGCTGTCAGTATATTATGTCTGAATATTTTTATCCACAGGTGAATTAATTTTAATACTCTATGATTGCTATTGGGATAGAGTAAATTATGTAAATAAAGTATGGGCTTATCTGAATTCTGAGGTACTGGGTATACCGTCGTCCGTCACTGTAGAGCGGCTTTATATTATACTTACGATTTCTGGAAAATTTTTGGAAAAGCACTGAATACTTTTTGTGTTCTGTGGAAAATCCTTTGCTACTTGCCTATTTCTTATTATTGTAAATTTAGTAAATTAATCCTTAATTTCTTTATTTTTTCCTTCAAGAAACATAATAATTATTTTATAGTTTAGTTTAGTTAATTTCTTGTAGTGTTTATAAGTAAGTCATTCTGTAATATGCAGAAATATGAAAAACTTGAGAAAATTGGAGAAGGTACATACGGGACAGTTTTTAAAGCTAAAAACAAAGAGACTCATGAAATAGTCGCCTTGAAGAGAGTTAGACTCGATGACGACGATGAAGGAGTGCCATCATCGGCATTACGTGAGATATGTCTCTTAAAAGAACTGAAGCATAAAAATATTGTTCGATTATACGATGTTCTACACAGCGAAAAGAAGTTGACACTAGTTTTTGAACATTGCGACCAAGACCTAAAGAAATACTTTGATAGTTTAAATGGTGAAATAGATTTGGATGTAGTAAAGTCATTCATGTATCAGCTGCTACGAGGGTTAGCTTTCTGCCACAGTCACAATGTACTTCATCGGGATCTAAAACCTCAAAATCTATTGATCAACAAAAACGGAGAACTAAAATTAGCAGATTTTGGCCTAGCTAGAGCTTTTGGCATTCCAGTCAAGTGTTATTCAGCAGAAGTGGTTACTCTTTGGTATCGTCCACCTGATGTTTTATTTGGAGCAAAACTTTACACAACAAGTATAGATATGTGGTCTGCCGGTTGCATATTTGCAGAACTAGCTAACTCTGGCAGGCCTCTATTTCCAGGCTCTGATGTTGATGACCAGCTAAAAAGGATTTTTAAGCTACTAGGTAACATTTTGTTGGTTTATATAAAAGTTGTTGATTGTATTGTATACATTGTAAGTCAATGTTAAGACCCTCTATATGTCTCTATATGTAAAAACTAAACACTTTATTATTACTATTTATGACAGGAACACCAAATGAAGATACATGGCCTGGAGTAACTCAGCTGCCAGATTATAAGCCATTACCAGTTTACCAACCTAGCTTGGGTCTTGCTCAAGTTGTGCCCAGATTGTCTGCTCGTGGGAGAGATCTTCTGGCTCGTCTACTTACTTGCAACCCAGCATTACGAATGCCAGCTGATGATGCAATGGCACATGCTTACTTTCATGATTTGAATCCTTCTGTGAAGAATGACAGGTGTTAACAGTCAATACACCCTTATAGGTGTACTTCTGAACTGCTTTTTAGTGCTAAAAATAATGAAACTGAAGATGATGTACAAGAATACAATGAACAGTGAATTTTTTTTTAATGTTTAATTTATTACTATTTATTTTGTAGTTCCTCTAAAAACATATTAGTGAAAGTGTAATTAGTGTAAGGTACTAGGTTTGTATATTCTTAAAAAAAAGCCAACATTTTTAAGAATTATATACAGTCCTAATCTGTCATAAACGGTTTTTACCGTTACAAGTTTATGATCATAACCATTTTATGAACCGTGATTTACTTTCTGATTTTAGAAATCTAAACTTTTATCAATTACCATATTACATCATAGTTTATTTATTACTATATATTGAACTAAGTAAAATTCTGTATTTTTTACAAATGTTTGGCTTTAGTTAGGAAAGTTAAAAAATCTCACAAACTCGATTATGACACAATAGGAGTTGATAATCAGTTTGCTATGTGATTTTGCGACAACTTTCAATAAATAGCTAGTTATGAACTTTCAATAAATAATTAGTTGTGACAAGATCTAAAGTTGATTGTTGACACTTTCAAATTTTGAAGACAGAACAGTGTTTGAATTCTTTTTATGCTTATTCATATTAAATATAAAATTTAACCCTTATTTACAAGCTTATTAGTCATAAAATTGTTTCTACAGAAGAACTTTTCAAAATCTCATAATTTTGTGGAACTTTGTATAGCTCTAGTTCAGCTTACTGTAGCTTTGTTTTTTTTTTTATAAGATCCTAATAATTGTTGATTCAGCACTTCAAACATTTGTGAATAATTATAAAATCATCTTAGATTTAATTAAATGCTTTACTTGGTAATGATCTCATTTTAACTAAAACTCAGTAGTGATAAAAATATTGTTAGATTAAGTCCTTTAAGAAAACTTACCATGTATGACAAAAGTTGTCTTAGATTCTAATAATCAATAGGTATTTTAATATGATTAAGCTAATTGTATAATATTTTAAAATAAATAAGAATATTAGGTTATAAGTATTTTTTCTATGCTTTCCCCTTTTTTATAGGACAACTCACATCTACTATTTCATATAATCACAACATTTCCATTTCAGCTCTTTTCCTCTTTCTATGATTGGCTACCATAGTAGCAGTTGTCAATAATGATTCCCCTCTCTTAAGCCAAGAAGATAAAGCTTTTTCTGTTGTCATAGCTGCTACTGTATGATCTCTCTCACACTCTGACAATGGTTGTAATGCATTTATAGAATCAGTTGCTACACTAGCTGATAGAATCATCTTAAATCTCTGTCTAAATGTCTGAAAATAGCAAAATTAGGTAACTACCAAAGGCAAATGGCATGAATTATCTTTTTTTTAAATATTACATACATTTACTAGAGTTGTTGCTACCTCTCCTTTTATATCATACTTTGCAACATAACACCCTAGTTCATAGAAGTATTGAGCTAATTTATGCATATCTACAGTACATGCATCGGCACTGAATATTTCTCTGTAAGTTTCTTTGTAAACTTTAGGCAAATCTACTGTTACTAGTGGTGGCCTCCTTGAAGATAAAGACTCTGCCAGCCATATAGGTATTTCTACACTTGTTCCAGCTTTCAAATCATCATCAGTACATGATGGATCCAGAAACCCTGCAATTTGCTAGTAGGATTAGGATATATTGCTCATGCAAAAACATAAGACAAATAAAAACCTACCTAACTTGGGCAAATCGTGTAGAAATTTACAAGGCACTTTTTCATTACTAACTAAAATATCTGTGACAGATAGATAAGACATTTTGTTTTAAAGTTTAGAAAACATATTTTTAAAATAATTTAATGCTTAACATTAGCACATGCTGAGAAATAAAGTTTATACAGATTTATCATTCAAGTTAATAATTTATAAATCTACGTAAACAACAGACTAGACTTATGGCAAAGCGTGACTTATGTCATTCCCATACAAATTCGTTTAGCGTTAGTGGGCTGTGCCCTGTGGGACAAACCTGTCGAATAGTGACTTGACAATTGACATTCAGTAAAATAAAAAATGCTATCTTCTTTTAAATATAATTACTAATAGTTTTAGTTATTACTAACAATAACACAAAACAATTTAACATGTAGTAAAAAGGTTAATCTTCTACAAAATAACAATGCTTCGGTGTCTGCCTTTACGAATTTCTATTCGAGACAGCTTAATTTTAATAATTTTAGTGCTATTTAATACTATTCACGTTACGGATATGGGTAATATATTATATTGACTAAATAATGCTATATTTGAAAATGTATATATTATTCTTAAGTTCAGATATTCTTGCAGCAAACAATGAAATGGATATTCAGAGTAAGCAAAGTAAGACAAAGGAAGAGAATGGAAGTAAACTAGTTAATTTTAATGGAAATGATGATTATTTAAAAAATTGTCCATCAGCAGATGAAGAGAATGAAATAAATTGCAATGAGCTAAATTATCCTTGTTTGGCTTGTGACAGGAGTATTGATTGTGTTTATGGAGCTCTTTTTAATTACACTTGCTATGTTAAAGCAAAGGTGACTTGCAAGGTATGTATTACATTCTAAATTGTAATAATAAAGATCTGTAACCTATTTATGGGAGGATAGTACACACAGTGTACCGTTTTAATAATTCACTGACATTAGTTATTTTTTTCCAATTAATCAATTTTCTTAATATAAATTAACTTTTGATTTAAACTGTTTAATTATTGATGATTAACATATTATATTTTAAATCGCTTCATATTTTTTCCATCTTTAATAATTATTGATATTAATCAATTTTTTAGGGGACAAGATCTTTCAACAAAACAGCACAATGCAGATTTTGTTATCAAACTGATAAATGGGAGCACAGATGTGATCAAAAAGCTAGCTGTAATTCTTTGGCGTCCCCTATAAAATATTATTTGTAAGTAGTTATTACTAAACAGTTGTTAGATATTTGAAGTGTGCAAATAAAAAAACTAATTTTAGTAAACTTTATTATACAAACGTGGGAAAATACTTTGGAATATAATTTTTTTTTTTAATGATTAATGAATAAGTTTTTATTAACACCATTATATTTTTGTATAAATGTAGTAATTTTTGTTGCAGAACAAACTGTACAGTTTCTGATGATATTATTTGCTTAGGAAAGAGGAGGTTCTTGAAAAAAATTAAGTGCTCATGGACAGCTGGAACACATTGGGGCACTGCATTGGTACTTGCCTTGACTCTTGGTGGATTTGGAGCTGATCGATTTTATTTAGGACACTGGCAAGAAGGCATTGGAAAACTGTTTAGCTTTGGTGGCCTTGGTGTTTGGACGTTAGTTGATGCTTTATTAATAGGTATACACCACCTTGGCCCAGCAGATGGATCTCTGTATATTTAAGCAATAAATATTGTAAGGAATAGCCATGTATTTATATTTATTTACAATGATTGTATACAAGGTTGACAAGTTCAGCTTTCTTTAGGCCAGTTAATGCTGGCAAACCATCAATATTATTAAATTGTAAAATTTCCTTTAACTGTGATACAGTGTACTTTTCAATATGGTTTTTTGATAACCTTTCTTGAAACAAACCTAAATCTATATCAAGTTTTGATTTTTTACTACCTTCACTAGCAGACTTTGAAGCAGTTCTTTTAATAGCAAGTTCTCCAAATGGACCAAACATTTCTTCAAATAAATTTTCATTAACATTCTGAAAAAAATTTGAGTTAGGTTTAGTTGTATCAACAAATGGTTCAATTTCCTCTTCCTCTAAAGCAATTGCTTCAATAGCTCTATATTCAGATTGTAACTTTGGATTTGCAAACATGTCTGGCTTATAATCAAACTGTATACTGCTCAATAAATCTTTCATCACAACTTTATGAGCTGGTTCAATAGAACTTTCATCTTCATCTTCAATGTTTAAATCTCTTATATTTTCAACAAATGGAATATGTATTACATCAAATCCAATTGCAACATCTAATCCATTTGGATTTCTACAGGGATTCAGAGCCACAATTGTAGGTCTTGCATTTACTCTTGTACATAAAACACATATTGCAACCATATCTAGATCGGAGCAAGCCTTGTGCATAGCATTAAATGCTACTGTTGATCCTTCTATATTTTTTTCAGAAGGGTATAAGAAATAGCCAATTTTAAGAAACCATTTTTCTTTACAAATAATACCTACAGGTTTAAAACCTAACAGTCTCAACATAGGAGGGCCAAAAGGATTCTTCATTGATTTAATTTCATCTGTGCTAAATTCAACATGTTCCCCTCCATATTCTTGAGAGAATAGAAGTTCAGAATTTAATAGAGGAAGTTCTTTGGAAGAAGAGTCTATATCTTCAGATTCTATGGTAACTTTTGTCATTTTGGTGACATTAGTTACTACTGCATTGCTTTCTCTATCCAAATTAATTTTTCTGTGATGGTTATGTCCTGCTTTTTTTACAAGTGAATAAACTCCTACACTTATTGAAAAGCCTTCAGCAATTTCAAAGCTCAGGTTAGAAACTGCTAAGCGACGATGAGACTCTTTATACATAACCTTTTCAATTTCAATGCTATCAAAAATTGGTTCAGGTAATACAGGATCCTGCCCTTTATAAGCTTCTTTTAGAAAGTTTATATAAAATGAATCAATATTGTAGTCTGTCTGAGCTATATTTAGTATGACTAAATCAACATTAGAATCAGTTAAATCTCTTACACGTTTCAATGTAGGTGTCTGGTCGGCAACAATGGGTGTTATTTTTAACTGTGTTAGCAAGATGACTTTGTAAGATGATATTTGCTTTTTACAATTTGCAAATATTTTGCTACAATGCCAGAGAACATCTGATAACTTTAATTCTTTAGCTTTTTTGTATGAATGAATGTCAACATTTTTAAGCTTTTTAAATTCTAACAGTGCTGGTAAAGACAAAGGAATGAATTCTTTTACCCCAGGGGACTCTATTAAACTTTGGGCAGTATTTTTATCATCCACTCCATACAAATAAACCCCTAAAATTTGAGCACTACCACTTCTGAGACATTGTCTGTAAAAGCGACATGTTGCGTAAAGAGCAAGCTCCACTACATTGTTTTCCTCCAATAAATTAATTAAAATCATTGTAGCAGGTATACCTCGATACGTTGGCACTTCACCAAGTTCCTCATCAGAATCCATCCTATAATACTTGATAATTCTTTACATTAATATGGATTGGAATTTGTGAGACCTTCGAGGCATAGAATAAAATAATTTGCTAATGCTTGAGGTATTTTATGATTTATCAACTCAAAGAAGTTAGAACAGCATTTACGAAGTCTATTCCAGTCGGTTCGTCAGCTTAGCACAATACACAGTAAAAGGCGTTTTATGTTTGATTATACCGCTTCCCGAAGCCCGGTTAAGTTACAATCGCAACTTTTAGACATAACTTAAGAGAGTCATCAGTCAATTGAATAAATAATTTATTATAAGATGACTCATAATTTAAGTAAATAAGCATTTGCACATGTTGTACATGATTTTAATTTAAAAGTTCTTTTTTAATAACGATATAGATTATAGATCAGTTATTGAAGTTATAGCTTTTAAAATGGTGTAATTTTAGGTTTATTGCAAACGCTTATTGAATCATTTGTGATTAATCATTAATGATTTACAAGTTACAACACTGAAGTGAACACAACAAATAGACAAAAAACCTAAATTAAACCGATGCTAATGACAATTAACAAAGAATCTGACATACGTAGATTTATAATAACATTCTTTTTTTTTTTTTTTTGGGATTTTATGACCTTTAGGTCAACTCTTAATTTAAGAACATTCTCTACAATAAGCATAGAATATGTAACAAGGTTTGTTGATTAAAAACTGTGAAATCCCAATAATAATTATATAGATATATATTCTACACACTTTGTACACGTATAATGTATATATATATATATATATGTATCGTATATTATAGGGTAGTGATGGTCATGGATCGCTGTACTATATAATGTACTTTAATATTTGCAAGAAAATGAAATCGTGTTAAATTACGGTTTTTATCTAACGGTTATTTTGTTTTATTTAAATAAGAGAGCAAACGAGCCTACGGTACGGCCATAAAAGCCTACCGTAGCCCATTTGGCATTTTGTGAGTAGATGCGGTGCCAGACTTAGAGGAAATACGCCTTTTTTTTAAATACATAGAGAGACTCATTAAAATTTTGAAGATTATTAAATACAAAGTAATAAAAGTACAAGCCTGCAAGCATTCCCATTTTTTACAAATTTATTTATTCATTTTATGGATTATTATAGTACCAGATAAATATTGCAATAACACAATTATATTTATTGTCAAATTTAGTGTGAACTCTGTTGAGGAATTGAAACGAGTAAGGATATGAGCGGGTGCCCATTTCAAGCATCATATTCTAATATCACAACGATAATAATTATTATGATTACCCTTCGAGTATAATAATTCTTATTTATGTTCTGAAGGAGGAGCGACAGCTACGAGTGTGCGCAGTCAACATCATTGCAAAACGAGACTGCGCTGTTTGTCATTAGCTCACGGGCTTACGCCGGGTTGGGTGTTCGAAGAGCGTATCTAAACTTTAAAGAATTTTAGGTCAGGTTGCCGGCAACCGACCTCTTGACTACTTAGGCGCGTCATAAGGCGCCGGGTCATACTTAATAGCTGATAGTGCACGCGTGCGCGACATAGCGCGCGCGCGGCGCCACTTGCGCCCAACCACGAGCCGAGAGCATGCAAAGAGCACGGTGCTGCCGCGCGTAGCGAGCCAGGCCGTGCGCGCTATAGCCATGGGCTGCGCTTCGTCCGCTGAGGAGCGCGCCGCCCTCGCGCGAAGCAAGCAGATCGAGAAGAACCTGAAAGAGGATGGCCTTCAAGCCGCCAAGGACATTAAGCTGCTGCTCCTAGGTAAGCAGCTTTCGTTTGCGGGCTTTGCGCGCGCATACCCCGCGCCCGCGAGTTCCATATCGACTCACTAGGAAGGCTGCTGATGACGCATTTGTAAACTGCTTGTTGCTTTGTTTTCTATACGCGGATGCTAATCAAAGAATTTCAAAATCTATTATTTTTGATTAGATACCCAATAAATAAATCCTGTCCACAGAAATTTGTCTTTCCTGTATAAGACTCTATTAGAAAGGAGTCTATTAGAAATTTCATGCTACAACATTTTTTACTCGAAATACTTTGGAGTCGACCGGTTCTGGAGTCGTAAAGATCAAAATTATTAAGGTGAAAAAAGTCTGCACTAAATTATTAGGTATTGTCTAAATAAAATACTAAATCAGGCCTGTGAAAAAGTTGATAAGGAAATATTTAATCGTGTACACGCGTGAAAACATTAGAACGTTTTCTTCCTCTTCTAGGGGCGTAAATACAGTATTATTAAAATAAGAAAAATTATATGTGTGTGGCTTCTTTTTTATAACTAGGTAAACGAAGTAGAGCTGTTAACTAAGTATTTGTATTTTTATTTAAAGGGTCGACTGACCGACCTTAATGATTATTATTTTTTGGAAATTCGGACTATGTATTCAGATCGCTATTCAGGAGAGAATGATTGATATGAGCTTTCTTATTGTAACTAGGAAAACTGCCGTTGTGTACAATAATACACTTTGATATGAATTGAGTAATTATGTCTAATAAAACATAGATAGAATACTGTTCAGCTAACACTGAGTGATATGAGAGAGTCGTTTCGCCTAGTTATTGCTACGAATGCTGTTGTAGGAGTATCGAAATTATTTGCTAGTAACATAAATTCAGCTTTAGTATTGATATTTACTATCGTTCCTGTATTTTGGTATTTACAGAAAGTATTTGCAAAAAATAAATGTCTCTTCTTGTTAAAATAATTTTTTTACTCAAAACTTAAAACAAGTAAGGAACAATCTAATCTAATTCTATATTTTTATTATATTGCGATTATGGTGCAAAAAAAAACAGGAATATAGGTACCTAGTCAACTTTTACAATGAATTTTGAATTATTTTTCATCAAAGTATTCACGACGACGCGTTGACGCATGTGTGAGCGAGGGGGAACGAATTTACCCGAACGTAACCGATTGTCAGTCGAGCGGGGCGCGGTCGCTGTCAGTCGTCACGGAGTGTAGCTGGTGCTTGTCATACGGCCGCCATTATCTCATACAAATTCACAGAATCAATTAAATTGTACGTTATCGTTACGCGTTAAAGTGTAGTGGATGCAGTAATTGTGAAAATCACGAGATCGTGATAAATTCTACTGTGCTGTGACGTCAAGTCGAGCTTGTGCTAAGTGGTTACAGTTAGGCTACAGTGTTGAGTGTTAGGCGAGTAGGGTGGCTCCGGTAAAACCGGAGGCGCAGGACGCGTGTGGAGCGTATGCAGAGGGAGCGGTGAGATCGCGCCCGGCTCGGGAGTCGGGGCGAAAGGCGGTCTAGGCTAAGGAACAACTGCCGACATGGGGTGCACTCAGTCGGCCGAGGAACGCGCGGCAGCCGCTCGGAGTAGACAGATCGAAAGGAACTTGAAAGAAGATGGAATCCAAGCTTCCAAAGATATAAAACTTTTGCTGCTAGGTACAGTACATTCGTTATAGCTTATGGAACTTGACCGCACCCATGTATTCAAATCACAATAAATTAAGTGATGTTACAAATGTAACATGAAATCCATAAATATACAATTTTACCGTGAGACGGCTTCCTAGCCACGCATGTTTTGACGAGAGCCTACAGTATGTATTGCATATTATTCTGAATACATACATTAGCTTTCTCCAACCTAATCAATATGCCGGCTTACACCTATTCCGCGTTAAAATGAAAGTGTATTGGCATAATAGTAATTAGGAAATTCACAACATATAAGTCCGATAATTTGTCAGATTGTTTTTATGACCTTACAGAATATCTCTGTTCCTTTAAAAGCTAAGCCAGTCAAAGTAGTAAAGATGTTAAAAAACCAGCTCAACTTTCCTAAAGTTAACCAATAAATGAGTTTTTTTTAACAAATAATCACTATTTTTAAAAAAGCTTCATGTAATGGTTAATAAAAAAAATCTTTAAAAATTTCTATTAGTTAAAAAACTGAAAAATCTAATTTGTGCTACTGGTAAGTCAAGCTAAAACATAATTTAAAAACCAATAAATGTTAATAAAATGAGTTTCTTATTTAACAAAATGAATGTAAACATGTGCTTTTTTAAACTCACACAATTTGTTAGAATTAATGTGATTACTAGTTGCCTACTGCTACATTCCAACAAAAAAAGATTCATAATATAAATTATTAAATATGCCAATGATTCATACATACCATACATCATTCAGAGTAATATTAGTTAATTTATTCCAGTATTCTCTCATTACAGGCTTTATTATGTAACATACTTGGCATCTAAAGGCAAAAGAAAAAAAAATCCCTTATGACCCAAGTATTTGATATGTGATACAATTTGTTCTTAAATTAATGTCAAACTCGGGCTTACAAAGTATCTTTAAAATAATTTATTGCATTTTTATCAATATAGATGACATACTGGGCATACACCAGAAGTTATTATATTTTGAAAAACTTTAATATACTTCTATTTGCACAGTTTGCATCTATACAAAAACATAAGTATTCTTCACAGATTATTGAAATAAAAATATTTAGAAATAATTATATAGGCACTAAAGGGACATCTTAGAGTTTTAAGATAAGAAGCAACACCGTCATAATTATTATTGTACTTTCTAAATGACAAAATAATATTTTGAAATTTGTACTATTTATGTAGGTATATATAATTAGTACAAACTTAAAAGGCTTAGGCTAGCATTATTAAAAAAAAAACAGGAAAATCACAGATTTCTTTTCTTATATACTTTAAATGGCAAGTAAAATTATTATCAATGTTAACCTACACAACTGACAAAAATTTCATGCATGAACTAGGTTTGACACATTTGGAAGACAAGCCAAGTTTTACCTTCCTATTAAGTATGTTTTTCATAGTTAAATAAATACTTGCACCATCACAGTGAAATCAATTTACAAGACCTATTTTGTAATAGGATTTTAATGAATGTAATGCCTTGTGATTCTAAATTGCACAGTTCATTGTAGCAATTTCAATATTAAATCAAACTGGCCTGTGTAGGTGATATCTCTAATATGCAAGAGGTCAGGGATCGGATATTCAATGATTCAATTAGATAAAGGCACAGGGTCACTCAGATCAGGCCTAATAATATTTTAATGATATATAACACCTTATCATTATGTTCTTTCCTGATGTCAAATTTTTGCAATTGGATTTATTACATTGTACACAAATCAATGATAAGGCAATGGGTTTACTAGAAATTTACCCACTTATATCCCTATAAATCCTGCCTGTTTGCCCTCTTTCTATTATAAAATTTGCACTGTTTTTTTTAACTAATGTCTCTTTATAACAATGTTAACATAATTTAATAGAAAGACAGCAAGCAACGGGTACTTTAATTAAGAAACATAAATTACACTAATCTAATTTAATACAATAAGCAACAACCCTTAATATTATATAATATAGTGTGTAAATCCTCACCTGTTAATATAAAGTATTAGTTTTAATTAATTAATAATTGAAATGTATTTCAATCTGTTAGTGATAGCAAATAATAAATGTAAAATTTCTTGGTTATAAAAATTATCCAGTAAGTTAAATTATACTTTAAGTCATAGATAATATATTTTGTGACTTTTGAGACTTTAGACACATGCATTGTTATTCGCAATAATTTGACTGACAATGCTGATTGTCCAACTGAAAAAAAAAGTAGACCTTACAAATGGCTGGTTACAACTTTTTTTATAAACTTAAAAATGATATTTCATAAATTTTTATATTCTTTTTGGTACATCTAATGCATTGTAATTCAAATACACGGTTTATGTTTGGTTGGCAATTAACTGACTTTATATCACTCGTTTTATTACAGCGGCTGTGTAAACGTTTTAGTCTGAAACTCTATGATTTACAGATTTTAAAGATTTCTGTGCTATTTTTACTATTGTAAATAAAAAAGATTTTCTTTGTTACAGGTGCTGGTGAATCTGGAAAAAGTACGATAGTTAAACAAATGAAGTAAGTTGAATTTGTATTAGTCTTGAATTAAGTTAAAGCTTTAACATGTTACAGAAAATCATAAAAATTATAAAAATCCTTAAAGGCGATATATTTGTTTGAATATAATATAAAATTATTCTTGCAACAGTATTGCTGTTAATCCTCTAATCAATCAATAATAAGACAGTCTACAAGACCATCCGATCTGTACTCACGATATAATATATATAGATAATACTTTATCGACATAATCAATATGCTTTCAACATATAGAAGATAAGATTGTATATTACGAATTGTTTCGCATATCATTCTTTTTATTCAATAATTTAAGAAGATATTGAAATATCGTCCCACGGATTTACGCTACGGAGATTTTTAAACATATAATATTCAACAATTAGTTCAGATACAATTACGACTTACAATCTCCGTAGTCTGTTCAAAAATGAAAACTTTCGTGTCAAAAGAAATATTATTTGTTGTCACATAATAAATTCAAAATTTATTTCTTGTCACCCAGGTTAGTAATAGCGGCCGTAACGTAGCTGCTGGCGTATAATGAAAAATATTCATACTCAGTTTTCATTCTATAAACATTAACTATTATACTATTAACTTATGAGTAGGTCTTGGCTATCGTGACGCATTGGAAAATATTTACAAAAATCTTGTATGCACGCTATATGTG